AAGCCCAACCCCGGCCGGCCGGTCGCTACTCGAGAACAGGGGACCGGAACGAGGCCTGAGCCGGGCCCTCGGCCCCCAGACTCGAGCAGCGCGGGGTCCCCGGGCACCGCTTAGTCGGACATGGGAGGAGCCCTGCTCCTGGCATAGCATTACGGCAAGCCGGGCTTACAGCCGCGGGCCCTTCTGGAACAAAATGAAAGGCAAAGGGAAGGAATACGCACCAAAGTCCGAGGCGGAGGGTCAGCGTCCTGCGCTTGAGCCAGTAACTGCTGAAAAGTACGCCTCATATTTTCATCCTGCAAGGAACACGTGCATAGATTTAAGGCAAACCCTAGGACGGCACACACGTCGGTCAATGAAACACTGGGCGAATGCTGAGGGGGGAGCCACAGTGGACGGGGTGCAATCCTGCCATAGGAAGTAACCCCCCTGACCTACGCAGCATTTTCCTCCATCACCCTGCTTCCCTGCACGCTCACCTACGAAGCAATAACTGAAGTCCCTTTTAGCTAAGCAGAGCTCCACAGAGCCTGGCAAAGAAGAGAAACAGTACGCTGAAGAAAGGCAGGCAGGAAAGGAAAGGAAACCTGACTCTTGCTGGGCATAAACCCATAGTGCGCTTTCCAGATTTTGCTCACGGCTGCCTCCCGTCACCCTTTGGACCAGAATTTGGCAAAGGGGCGCTCAGGCACACCCCGCAGCCTAATTCCCCTTCTTGCAGAACCGTAACGCGAGCAGCAAGAACAGCTTGGGGACCCCACCTCCTCCTGGCATTCTCGACCCCCAATCTCCTCCAGAAGAAAATTCCTCAGGTATGCAGGCGGGACCCTTGCAGATGGGCAAGTGCCTCTGCCCCTACCTGCAGCCAGGGATGCTCCAAGGCCTCTCCTATTTTCAAGCGCTTGGTGGGGTCCACAACTAGCAGCTTCTCAACCAGGTCAAAAGCTGCGAGGAAGAAGCAGAGCCCTTAGCAACAGGCGGTTAACGCAGGGGAGCTCCACCTATTGCTCTGGTGCGTAAATGCTGTCAGCGCCTTTCCTTGTCCTGTGCCATCCCTGCGCTCCCCCCCTCTCCTGTTGGAACTGTGACAGCAGCTGAGAAATTTATCCCTCGACCAAACAATGCCACCTCTCAGGACTAGGAAGCACGTCTTGTCGGGGGTCTGCCCTCTGGAACAGCAGCTCCCCAAGGTCTGTACGGCTCCCACCCTGATGATGCTCAGAAAGTCTTTGAACGCTTGGCTATGCTCCCAGGCTGTGGGGTGGGGCTCTTCTGCTTGTTTGTATGGTTTTTCTTCTGGAGGCACAAGATCTATTTCATCGTTATTTTATTATTTGCTTTTAAAGTGTAAGCTGCCCAGAATCATTTGGCTTCCAAATTGCATAGATAAATAACCACACTATGACTAACCTTCCGTTAGCATAAGCCTAGGAAGGGACAGAAAGGGGGCAGGGCCCCCCATCATCTCACAATGCTGGTGAAGGCGCTGACTTTTTGGAAGGCCTGTAAGCGCAGCTCCTGCCACGGTCTCCAAAGACCCCTTTTGCCCAAAGCCTCTGGCCCAGGCGCTTCCTCCAGAGGGAGGAAAAGGCTGAAGGAGAGGCACTAGCTCCTTTGGCTTCAGCCTCATCATGCCTAACATGGCGCTTCTACGGGCTTTCGCCAGAGGCTAGTCTTCCCCAACCTGTTTCTCCCAGGCAAGGGTACAGGTGGGCTCAACATCCAGACTTCCCCACCAGCTCTTCACAGCTAAGTACTCCCCTCATGCCAGAGAGGGCTGGGCGTCTCAGCAGCCCCCTCTCCTTGGAGGTTTACTCAGGATGGAACCCCAAAGGCCGCAAACCTTCGGGCAGTCCCGCCTCAAGAGGCGGAGTGGTCATCCCAAAGGCCTGCTGACTCACCATTCTACAGGTGGCCAAAAAGCGGTCAGCTGGTGCCCCCCAGGTCCTCCCAATTCCTTGAGACAGCACTGCCATACCATCTTTGGATACGTCCTTCCACACTTCTTCAACGTAATAGTAGTCTCCACTGGCAATCTGCTCTCTCAGAGACGGGCCAGCACGTTTCTCAGTGAAGGGCGGGTAGCCAGAGAGGCTGAGCAAAAGGAGGAACAGAAATGTCCTGCTCTAGCCTCTTCTACAACAGGGGGACAACTGCAGCGCACACCCCCTTTTTGTAGTCCTCAGAGCTGCTTTTGACTAGGTTTCTCACCATTCTGAGGTAGAAAATGTGACAACTGTCGTGTAAATCCTAAAACAGGTGTATTGCTTTTTAAAAAATAAAATTTCCCAAACACATCCCAAAGTTCCAGCCCTCAGCCCTCCATCAGAATAATGTTCAGTCTGCCACCAAAAGGTGGCCCCTCCCCTCCATCTCTCCAGCATGGCTAAGTTTCACGTCAGGCTGCCAAGGAGATGGGGTTTGGGGGGTCACTCTTGCCCTGACCTGCAAGTTTTGCAGGGCTGCGATACGCTGCCATCCTATAACGCCACCCAGACGTTACTCCAACTTCAGCGGGCTTACACCTAGGTTCGGCATTAGTTCTTGTGAAGAACAGAATGTAAATCAAAATATTTTACCAGCCATACTAGACTTGTTTACCACATAAAGAGAATCACTCCAAGGCTCCAGCAGTCCACAGATCGTCCATATCCAGCTGTTCCAGCAAAATGTAGAATTTCTGGAGCAAGGTAGTCGGGAGTACCACATAATGTTTGCATGAGAGAAGTTTCTCCAACAATTTTGGATTGCCCAAAATCTGTAATCTTGTACAAGGAAAGTGAGAACAGTTCAGAACTTGAAAGAAAACTTTTCCTTGTGCCATTCTGTCTCATCGGAAATGTACATCTTACTTTGCTATCTTATTCAGTATGAAAGGAATGTCCAATTTGCCCTCAAATTCAGAATGGAATCTAAATTGCAGATCCAATGAAATCACCTATATTTGCTGGAGGAGAGAAGCGGGCCATGCAAACCAAGAACAATCAGAAAATGCACACCCCAACTTTCCTTCCTACTTTGCACTTCTCTTTACTCTTCCTTCTCTCTCACACACGTATATCCCTGTTCATTAGACAGAGAAGACCTGGATTTCACATTTCTCAGGTTTAAATGTTGAATTCCATGACAACAGAGCAATATAGCTTTGGAAAACAGGGCATATTTCTCTGGGACAGCACTAGATAGGGAAGAGAGGAGAGGTGGAATCCTCAGTGGTTCTCCTGCACTTTTGAGATGTGCAAAGCACCGAGTTATTAGCCAAAATGTTGTTTATATATATTTTGAGTTAGTATAACAATGATAAAATTCATGACACACCATCAAGGACCTTTGTCATTGTTACAGTAACATGTCCACATACAGCCTGTATTGGCAGAGCAAGTGGCATTTTCCACTAGTATAATTCGATTCCCCTTTGCATATAGACCACTCACCTTGACAAGGCAGTTCTCTTCCGTAGACGATAAAAGCACATTCTCTAATTTCAAATCCCGGTGAATTATGCCATGTTTGTGAAGGTACTTTGTGCAATATCAAAAAGGGAAAAAAGTCATAGAATAAATGGACTTACAAGAAGATGAAAGACAGGAGTCTGGTAGCACCTCTTCAGGCTAACATATTTTATTTTTAAGGTATAAGCTTTGCCGAGCTACTGCTCAATATTCACTGTTATTCACACCTCTGTTCCAACTGTCTTTTAGCTTCTGTTTGAGCTTAGTCATAAAAATGCAGTGCCTTTTTGACATGCTCCCCAGATGTCAAACCCCCATTCCTTACAGAGACTGCTGGATGTAATGCAAAGCATACAACCGCCTCGAGATTGTCAGCCACAAGCCCAGTGAATGTGCCAACAGAAAATACTGCAACTGAGCCACCAGCCAAACTCCCTTTCTGAGATGTCACAATTACCTGTACAGCCAACAACATCTGGTAGAAATACAGTTTGCAAGTTCTTTCACTCAACCGTGCTGGTCGCTGAACCTTGTCAAACAGTTCCCCACCTTCCATCCTGAAAGATGGGGGGAAAAAGATGGAAAGTTTTGTTTTCTTTCTAGGAAGCACATGTCAATGTAATGCATGGAGATCCAGAACTTGTCCTGAAAGACCTGCTCTTCCTTAAGACAGAAGGCAAGCCAAAGAAAAGAAGGGGTGTCCTCTGCAGATGACTCCAGCTTCCAATTTTCTGCCCTGCTGGACCTCATGGTTCTTTGAACCACAAGCATTTGTGATCAAGTAACTCGTTCATCAGACACCTCATGTGGACTTAGCCAGAAGTCAGGTGCTGAGACAGACCACGTGGAACTTTTGAAGCAGCAGCTGGACAAATAACAGGGATGGACTCCACTTCCTACCATTAATTGGGCTATCCCAATTTTTCATAGACATCTTTTCTTTCTTTTCCTTCACCCTTAACAGCCCATCTCCTTAATGTTGCTTCTTTCCTGCTGGTTTCTGGGCATCCCTGCGTGCTGCCATCTCATATACTCACTTTCGTCGTGGGTGCAAAATCATGAGCCACAAACAGGAACTCAGAACAATGACTTACAATTCCAACACAATGTAAAAGTCTTTTCCTTCAAAGAAGTCTATTATCTTGATTAGGCAGGGCTGCAGAAGGAAAGAAAGACAATATTCAGAAGTGATTCTTAAGAAAAGTGTTTAAAACAGCAATTTATTTTTTCTTTTGAAAAGAGGGGTTGTGAATCCATACATGCCACCTTACTAAGTATTCTTAAAAAAAAAGAAGAATGTCAGAGTCTTCAAAGCAAATAAACCTTACCAGTGGCCTAGTTCCAATCAAAGGAGAAGAGGCGCCAAACCAACACAGAACAAGCTACTAGCCTTGAAGCTTGACTTACGTGGTTGATCTTCTTCAAGATACCCACTTCCGTTTCAATGTTAAAAGGTTTGTCCTGCTGTTAAGTAATGGAGCATCAAAATATAAAGTTACTTGTGCAGCTTGAATTCATCCTTTTAAATGGAAGCAATTTTCAGAACAAAGGAAGCTCACAATTACCACAAAAATGTGCCCAAGACCCTGATAAGAATGGCTGCTGTAATGAAGCAAAAACAGCAGGGAAAATGAATTGAAAACTCTCAGCTGAACTGCAAACTAAGTTTAAAGGTGAAAGTTTTGCATGCACAGACAGACAAAGCAGACTCATGGAGAACAGATCTTCACCTTAAAAAGTGAAGTGGGGGCACAGACTGGTAACTGAAGCTTGTTCGTGCAGCTGATCTCCTACCACTCATTTTTCTCCAGGGCTGCACCCGTCCATTCAGTAGCTGAATGGGGGGACCGGCAGCGGGGCAGTTTAAGATCCTCGTAGAAGAACTATGCACCTGGATGAAATTTAAGCCCCCTGGAAATTTGAAGGCCTTATGAAGGGGTTCCCTCACGGTGGAGGGCAAGGGGTTTGAGCAACGTAATAGGCCAATCAATATTTTCTTCTGGCATCAACCTCTAGTGAAAAACACACAGAGAGTAAAAGCATTTAGGCCACACGGCGCTCACAAACACCCAGCCAGATAACACACAGACATGTTGCATCAGTCAGTCAGGCAACTCTCTCCTGCTGTGAGAGCCACATATCAAACAAGTTAAAATCAGGGAAGCAATTCCTGCGCTATTCTCAGTCACTTTAAAAGGACGCTTTGCCTCTCTTCAAAAAGTTTCCTTCCAGCTAGGGTCAGGGCACAAACAAAATACAGAGACTTACCACTTGTGGCAAGAGGTCAGTCATAAACTTGCACTTCCTGATGATTTTTATGGCAACTTTGCTATAGGTGTCCTTTTCAAAGGCCAGCTTCACCTCTCCACAGGCCCCACTAACAGGAAAAGGAGGAACTCGTTGCTGCTCCAGCTGTGAGAGAGACCTACGCGCAGGGTGCCTGGCAGCCACGCTCTGGCCTCTCCTCCCCCAACGGGCAGAGAGGAGCAAGCAAGGGCAGGCCCACATGGCTGATTCACTTGCCGGCCAGGACCAAGAGACCCCCCCGCCCCAAAGGATGGCCACTGGAAGCTTTTGCTCAGCTCTCTGGCCTCATCTGGTTCTGATATGGTCCGTTCTGCCCAGGCAGCACGAGAGCAGCTTCAACCAACGCAGAGAGGTGGATTTCAAATTTTCCAGGTGGACGGAAACCAAACCTGCCCCCCGAGAAAAGGATCCCTCCCACCGACCTGCCCAGCGTCTTTGAGATGATGTATTTCTCCCGCAGTTCCTTGGGATATTCCAGCTGAGGGCCAGCCTCCATGAGGTCAGAGAACACAAACACTGGGAAGGCGAGCAGAGAGGGCACTCCTGTTACGATTGGCGCGATGCCCCTTTGCATAACCTAGCCCTAACCTCCATGAGCATGGCTAAATGTGGAGACGTAGTAACAGGACAAATTAGTTTTGTGTCACCTCGTTACACCTCCCTTGACGTTTTCAAGAACTGAGGCAAGTGCCAGTGGGCCGAACGTCTAGGTCTCAGTGGCAATTAAAACAGAATAAATCATCGGGCCCAAGAGTTCAAATGGAAACTTGTTTCAATGGTGAAATGCAAAAAACACCAACAAGAAAAAAAGATAGGGATTATGCAGTGAAAAAAAGAAAACCTAGATTTATTAAATAGATAATATTTTCTGATGAATTTTAATTTTGAGTAGGAATATACTTCACATTTCTTAGTGATTCTTCAAAACTGGATAATTCTTCATTCCACAATTCAGATGTATAAGGAATATTAACTTTAGTTTTACCTTAACATTTCTTGTAAAAACGAACTGTTGGTTTCTATTCAGATACTACATCTCTTATGGATCCCAAAATTGCCTTGGAGGCTGATAGAGCATCAGGACCATACTATATAATTAATAATACACACTTCAGTGATTTTCTGGTCTTTTAAATGGTTGATTTTTTCCAGACTTTCTTTTCTGATACATTCAGTGTTTTTACTGTTGCATTTTGTAAGATGCCCAGAGCTGTGAAAGTTTGGGGTGGCCTATAAATCTCATAAATAAATAGCCAAGCCAAGTGAATGAGCCATACCCTCAACACGTAATATCCAAAATCTCTAAAACAAATGTTAGAACTCAACTGATCTAAAGCGTTGATCTTTTGGAGCCAAAGGGCTCCCATAAGATATCTTCCCTGCTACTTTCAAATTTGGGTTATTCCACAAGATCAATTTCTCGTGTGATTTGGAATCAAAATATTACTGTTTACCTGTTAGTAACCAAATTTGATGACAACACCAGTTTAGTTACTGAATGTAAAAAGAGATCACAACAAGCATCAAATATCCTCCTAAGGAAGTTCATGGACTATAGCAAAGTGGGATTTGCAGGAGCAAAAACTATTCCAAATTCCATATCTAATAATGAGCAGGAAACAAACCTTGGGGGTTGTGACTGAAAGTATCAGTCCAGCGTGAAAATCAGCTGGGCCAGTCAAAGAACCACTAGCAAACAAATAAAAAGACCATCTGCCTTTATGTAAACAGGCTCAGGTTACCCCTTGCGCTGAAGGAGGCCTCAGGATGCACAGCTGAGAGCTAGATTCCTAGAGAGCAAGGCTGTCTTCAGCTGCCCAGAAAAGCAGCCAAGGCAGGAAGTGTTCAAGGCAAACTGTGGCCATCTGGAAGGGGCATTTGCCCAAGAAGCATTCAACCTAGAGGCCAGCTTTGTTTCTTTTCCTTAAAGCTGTTGGGTGGGGATCAAAAATATTTGCAGGCTCGTACATGCTGCCGGAGCTCGCTCCTGCTCTGCCCAGACAGGCACTTGGGAGTGCAGCTGGCAGGAGTCCAGCCACAGGAGCCTCTGGGGTTGGGCGGGTGGGGGAAGCACAGAGCAGTTTGTAGAGCCTGGGTGCACTCTGGCAGGGAGCCCACCCCCCCGCCCCGGACTGCGCGCTCCCCCGCTTGGCGGGCCCTGGTGGAGAAAGGAGGGGGGCACAGGGGGGGGTGTCGTGGCAC